TCGGGGCCTTCCGGCGCCCTTGAGATCCGCGGGACGCGCCCTTTGCGTTCGCCATCTCTACGGGACGGCTTAGGTCCATCGGGACCGTCCGGGAGAGGAGATATCGGCTGCCAACCCGGGAGCCCAGGCCCCCCCGCCGTATCGCCGCGACGCCAGCTCCGCCCTCCAGAGTTGCAATGTATTTTAAAAGCACCCTCCCCTGCTCAAGTGTCTAAGTGAATGAATTTGGTGATGTTGTTGGGAATATATGGGTTAAATAAGTGCTTGAAAGAATAAAAGCTATACTATTGTTCAGGTTTATTGCTGGCCACCCAACCAAGGAGCAGATCTAAATACAGCTCTTCAAAGAAGCAGTAAGTTCTAATATTTGTTGGAAGATAAACTCTACCAAGTATTGCCTTCCAGGAAATTCTTGCTGAGAACTTCAGTGAGTGGAGAATACACAAGATGATCAAGCTATGTTGATCTGATTCTAACTAATATAGAAGACATAGTAAGGCAAGTGGAAGAAGTGGTAACATCAAGGGAAAGTGATCACTGTAATGCTGGAAATTAAAAGCTGAGTATAGTCAAATGCAAACTTAAAAAGAAATCTACACAACTGCAAAAAAAAAAAAAAATTAGAGGTTATATAAAAATAAGGAATGAAACTCAGAAGAGGTGGAAAGAGGCACCATAGAAGAATGCATTCCTTTACATACAATCCAAGAATTAGAATACAATGTAAGGGTCGAAGGGATATTTGAGATCATCTAGTCCCTGCCAATGCAGAAATCCTCTTTTACAGCCTTCCTGGCAAATGGCCATCCAGCCTCTGTTTCAGTATTTCCAGTGAAGGAGAATACCTTGCTTTTGGAAACCTGAAATACCTTCCTAAGGGGCAAGTTGCTCTTAAACTAATACATACCTTTGGCAGGAACTGCTGGAGGTTCCTCTGTTTTCTTCATCCCTTTCATTTGTTTGGGCTGCACTGGAGACCCAACTGCCTTACTGAGGACTGTCTCCTGCAAGCTGGAAAACAAGGGAGACCCTGGTTTGGAGATGGAAGTGAAAAAACAGCCAACCAATAACATTTGATTTCTCCGAGGTTTAGTATTTCCATAACTGGCACAATTAGTATGTCTCTCAAATGATTTTCTATTGGTTAAGTGCATATTCACAAGAGTGGTTGTGGAGATGGACTATGAGGCCATGGAAGACTGTATAAGAGAGGTTGACCAATTCCCTCTCACACCCCACTCTCGTGGATTGACTGGCATCTATTTTCTTTCAAAAATACCTTATATCAAAGCAAATGCCTAAATGGTCTAGTCATGAAAAGGGAGGCCCTCAGGTTGAAAACAACCATGGCTCTCTATTTTGTCTGAAAACATAAATCCTGCCTTGAAATCATATTACAGGTAGTCCTTGGTTAACAACAGTTCATTCAGTGACTGTCTGAAGTTATGATAGCACTGAATGAAGAGACCTATGGCTAGTCCTCAAAGTTGTGGCCACTGCAGCATCCCCATGGTCATGTGATCACCACTTATGCCTTTCACTACTGGCTACTGACAGGCAAAGTCAGTGGGGAAACCAGCAGGTCACAAATGGTGATCACGTGGCATCGTGCCTAACTACTGCGCAGGATTTGACTAACAATAGCAACTGGAACTGCCAGAACTGCTGTAATAAATCGGTGTGGTTATGTGACATTCCGTTTTACAACTGTATCACTTAGCAGCGGAGTTCCTGGTCCCAATTACTATCATTAACCAAGGACTACCTCATATATTCTCTGTTTTCTCCATATATTTGAAAGAACTTTATTAGAAGGTTAAGCATAATAAATGTCATTAAAAGACTGAGCATAAAGTGGTTTGAAGATACTTCCGGAGTAGAAGAGACATATGGAAAAAGCCTAGGGTTTTCCGATCAAGACTTGCTCAAAATCTGATTGCAGATTGCAATATTGTACCAACAAGGGGAGCGCTTTTCAACATTTCAGAAAGAAGAGAAGGCCTATATCATTCAGAAGCTCGAGGTGGCATGTCCATCCTCCTCTCATTCCCCTCACAACAACAAAAACCTTGGGGTAGGTTGGGGTGGGGAGAGAGAGAGAGAAAATTGAATTTGGTAATGGGTGATATTAGCTGGATTTGATTGGATTTCAGAAGCACTGAATGTTTTTTCTTTTCTTTTTTGCCTTCAAGTCAGTCCTGACTCCTGGAGACTGCCTGGACAAGTCCCTGCAGTTTTTTGGCAAGGTTTTTCAGAAGTGGTTTTCCCTTGCCTCCTTCCTAGGGCTGAGAGAGAGTGACTGGCCCAAGGTCACCCAGCTGGCTTTGTGCCTCAGGAGGGACTAGAACTCCTGGTCTCCTGGTTTCTAGCCTGGTGCCTTAACCCCTGAACCAAACTGATTCTTGTTTCTTTCATTAGCTTGTACTTTTTGTGGACAGGACTCTGTTGGGAATGTTATTCCTTCTGCATCTTTACTACAGTCAAACATCATAAATTACTGCAAGAATTTATATAGAAGCTCATTTATACAATTATTATTAATTAAATTTGTCTGCCGCCCAACTCTCTACAACTCTGGGCGGCTCACATCAATCCAAGAAATTACAATAAAACCAGTAAAACTAAAGATAAAAAATAAAACTTTATTATAACTTTATTATAATAAAATTTTACTTTTTACCTTTAGTTTTACAACTCTCCCAGGCAGGCAAATGTCCAAGGCAGATATATTTAATGCTATTTTGTAGGACAATTAGTTCAACTAGTATGGCGGGACTATTTCTTTGAATTCAGCATTCTACATACAGGGAGGATTTTATCTGGGTTTAACACATTTAACCACCTAGAATCAGGAACAGCTTTAAAACACAGCACTGGTATGCTGAGAGACCCCCAGCCATTGTGGCTTGTAAACCATCACTGAGAGCTGAGATCCCCAATACTAATATGCGTGCAAACACTTTCTTTGGCACTCGCCAAGCTATCTGCCCCTTTGGACTGTTATAATTAATAAAAAATAACGTGAAACAGGCCTTCTGCTAGGAAGTGCCAGCTTTCTTTATCATCTTCATTGGTAAGAATATCTTTAGACCAACATAGGCCCCATAAGCTTTCTTAGAGAATAAAAATGATAGATGACTGCAATCCAGGTTTTTTGTTGTGGTTTCAAAGTAAAGCCACCTGCACAAGACAACAAAGGAAAGCAGGTGCAATAAGGGCTATCTATGGAAGAACAGATGCCCATCTTGACAGCAAATTTGCAAAAGCACCTGTAACTTGATCACAAACTGCCAAATATCCCTGCCAGCCCCCAAATATTTGTGGTTTGCCAGCAAGATTGGCAACCTATATCCCCAGGTTCCTTCCTGGAGGAATCTCCTCTGACTAGGGAAGCTGAAAACTAGCAGTATAGTTTGCAACTATTTTGAGGTGGAAGACTGTAATCCAACCTCTAAAACAGGAATATCACAACACAAACCCAAAGAAGGTCTCCAAAATTCTACCAAAACCTCAGCCGGTCTCCCCCACCCCCCTGCTGTCAGGAGTAGGTGCTCAAGAAACAGTTTAAAAAGCCAGGATATCCATGACAGAACTTAATGCCAAAGTCTTGGAAGCCACTAACTAATCACACTACAGCATTTTTGTATTTCATTTCTCCTAGTTGTATTTCCTTTTTTTCTATTATAGTTCCTTTAATGTTTTCCTATATACTTACTAACAGAGGATTATATTTCATGGTTCTAATGAAATAAATTCTTATCCTTAATATTCTTTTGTTAGTCCCACAAGTTTTGGTTTTGTTGCCATTAGGCAAATATGCCTACTTCTTCCAGAAATGAGCTCAGAAAGGTCCATCTTGTATGGGAAGATCATGTGGAGACTTAGCTAAGCAGGGGAAATCAAAGTTGAAAGTTCTCCATCTGTAAACGAATGGAGACCTGGTCTTCGGAAGGGGGAATAGAGCAATGAACTATTAAAAGAGGAGAAAAGATGTCTTGGTCTTGACAAAGAGGACAGTGTGAGAAAGAAACTAAAAATACTGTAGCCCTGCCTTGGTTTTGTTTTTATATGTGGTAGAAACTCGGAAAGGCTTCCAATATTCTGTTATTCCACCATACAGCAAAAAAGAGCATTCCAGAAATCTTTGCTGCTTCTGATTCTTGATCTGGACTACCTTAAAGGGCTGACACCATCAAATCTTCTACTGATGTGGACAAAGAAGTGGTGTGCAAGTATATGCACTGAGAAAGCGCAGTGTATGCATGTACATTAGTGCACATGTGAAAACAGCATATATGTGAGTGACTGAAGAGTGTGAATGAGTGCATACATATACACAAGACCCACATGTGATTAGAGAGAGACGGACGCATGGCTAAGGAGGATATGAATGCAGAGCATGCATGTGTCTGTCAATGCAGTATATGTGTCTGTGTTTAGGAAAGCATATTAGAGCATCTTAAACTTATTTATGTAAATAGGGTACAGTTTTGGAGTGGCATATGTCCTAGAAATAGATAATTTTCTTTAAAAGTAAATAAAATGGAAAGAGAGTATGTTTGTGTGGGAGAGAGTAATCAAAGCCATTATGATTGGCATAACAAAAATATAGCTTAGAACACTCTAACTAGTATAATAATGTAATATACATTACATTCACCCCAAACCTCTTGAGAATTTTCAGCCTTTTATCTCCAACACAAAGGATTAATCCTCTTAGTAATTCACACACTATGAGCAAAAGTAGCCTAACCAACACACAAACCTAATCTGATGTGGGCAAAAGGATTATTGGCAGATACATCCTCACCAACATAACAAATTAAGGAAAACTGTGTCACACATATGTAGTTAATGAAGACCAATACTAAGACTGAATCTCTTATAGAGGTTTTTGTATTTCAACAATAAGGTCATTTCAAAGCCTAGGGAGAAGGTTAGGCTCATAGGTTGCCCATATTCCACAGCAATGGAGGATTATAAATTCTCTTTTGAGGGGAAGAGTCTCTTTTTCCATCATGGATTTTCTGGCATTGATTAAAGGCTCTCAAAATAATTTCCAGGTTTTAAAACTATTCTTCTCACAATAGGAAACAACTAAGTCTATGACCTTTTTATAATAACAATAAAAAATGTTTTAGTTCACAAAAGGAAACTTCTTCTCCTACCTCTTCTGGGGATACTTCACCAAGTAATGTTTCACTGTGAAAAAGAACACAGAAATAAGAAAAACAGAAGTCAAGAAACACATCATTGTGTATAATACTTTTCACTTACATGTGATTTCTAAAGGAGTGATGATCATCTTGTTTAGTTTGTTTACTTAAGGCATTTCTAGACTGCCTTCTACTACAGAAAATCCTGAAGCAGTTTACAACAAAATCACTTCAGAATAAAACAATATAAAAATGAAGTCAGAAACAATATAAAAAAAGTTAGAAAAAGGTAAAAGCCATCCATGAAAATAGAACTCTTAGGCTGACATAAAAGGTGGGATGTTCAGGGATGGCCCAAACCCGTCAGTCAGTATCTGAGAATGGCAGAGGAGGCCATTCCACAGCCCAGGGGCTACTACACAGAGGCCTGTCTCCATCAAACTGTAGGCAACTTCATAGAGAACAGCATCTCCTTCCAGGGGGTTGACAGACAGATGTAACTGGAGATGATATTTAACAAAGTTCTACAAGTTACATCCATGTGGAAAAATCCAGCAGGTGGTAGAGCAGAAGCAAAGTGCACAGCAATCAATCTGGAGACGTTATTTGTTAGACAGTGGTGAAGTGGTGGGTCCTCAAAACAGAGCTCGCTACAAAAGGCAAATGATCATTTCAGGACAGCTTCTCAATCATCTGTGCAAAATTTAGTAAGTTCTTGATTTATACACAGTTTTGAAAAGTGCACACACATACTTAAATGCCTAATTACAGGTGTTTTGGAGAATTTTGCAAAGTATCTCACTTCATCATCTGGGAGAAAATCTATGTGATCACTAAGAGTCAACACTGACTTGATGGCATGTCATCATCACCTCACTCCAGCCCCCTTTCTAAGTTAACTTGGTATCCATTATATAAATTTACTGTTTACATATCTCAGTTACTTTATACACACACACACACACACACACACACACAGAGTATATACATACATACATACATACATATATATGTACGTACGTATATATATATATAAAAAATCCCCTCTCACCCCTATGAGTAGTATGTGTCTTTCTCAATCTTGGGTCCTCTACCAGGGGCCTGGGAGTTATTTAGTCCAACACATAGTCCAACGGATAGTGGCAGGGTGTAAGTTGTAGGCAGGAACAGCATATCCTGAGCAGCACAACCAAGCAGCTGGCATTGTTTACAGGAACATCTGCACAGTGTATGGGCTAGACCCTCCTAAGTCCAGATATGTATTTATTTAAGATTTTTAAAAAGGAAGATTAAAAACTAATGCAAACTAATATAAAGTAAGAAAAAGAAAGAAATCAAAGAAAAAGCTAAAAGTGCAAGAAAGGAAAAGTAGCTTCCAATCTTCTTTAGAGCAGTTATAAGTACAATTATAAATTTACATCTTACTCTATGGTTACAACATAACTTTCTTCTTTCTATAATTTC